GCTCTGACTCAAGTCCACCGAGTCCACGCGTTTTTAGAAACGTGTGTTTTGTGCAGTTTTGTTAAAAGAAATTAAAAAATTAAAGACATTAAACTATTATTGTACATTATTGTTGTAAAAAGCATTAAATATTAATTTTTATATTTTATACACTATATTATACACTTTTATTAATTCTCTTTACAATGAGCGCAGTTGATTTCTTGTCGCGTTGTAGAGCGAGAAGAACATAGATTTGATCAACCTTCAGGAACTTATCCTAATAAACATTTTCAACTTAAAATAATTTCAGAGATCGTCTTTAATTAAAATACATTTATTAATTACACGTATGAATGACCGTGTTTATTTTTTGCTCTCAATTGCCCATTAATTAATTTAATTCACATTTATTATTATTTCGCCCGCGTAAATAAAAATATATTTTAATAACAAGGCTCAATAAATTTAAAAAATAATTATCGTAAATAAAAATATATGTTAATAACAAGGCTCAATAAATTTAAAAAATAATTAAAACAACAGGATTACGAGCCAACATTCGTTAAATTATAAAGGTCTTAGTAAATATATAAGATGTCATTAGTTAAAAATAAATATAAAGTTTAATAAAATTTAAAACAGACGTTTCGACCTCTTCTGATTTTAAATTGTTTATTGTCAACATCTTGAAATGGGTCTCTCTTCGCATTGTTCTAATTATATATTAATCATAATTGTATTTTTATACAATTTTACAAGAAATGTGGAGCTTTTTCAAAATTTACATTATTCAATGATTACTTTTTATCGGACTCTTGCCAATTTGCGCCGAGATGATTAAGTCTTCAATAGCGAGTGAGATTAAATACCCACATCACAAAATTTATATACATATTTTTCGTATTTTATAATATTTTTACACATGTATTCGTTTTTTAATATTATATTCTGTCTTCTGTACATCGTTAACGATTCTTGCGATTTTTTAACATTGATAATGACCTAATAAAGGTCGAAATGTCTGTTTTAAAACTTTTATTAAACTTTATATTTATTTTTAACTAATGATATCTTATATTTACTAACAAAAGACCTTTATAATTTAACAAATGTTGGCTCGTAGCCTTGTTGTTTTAATTATTTTTTATTATTATTGTTTTTAAATATGGAGCGCTCAATTTATTTTATATTATCAAAATAATTTAGTCTACCATTGGTTTTTTTGTTTATGTGCCGTTTATTTTCTTCTAGTAAATATTTCAATAAATAACATTACACTTCAGTATATATAATATTTTCAATATAAAATATTTTATTCAATATATATATAATATTTATTGTTAATTTTAATTTATAATATTTTCATTAT